CTGCGGCATCAGTCCCACAACTACAACGCTCTTTCAAGCCTACTTTTGACAGATGGGTGCACCTTTCAATACATCCAATTGATAACCATTCAATTTATATAAGAGTAAGTTTTAAAACAGTGCTGTTTAATCGCATTACAATTAGGTTAAGTATTTTGCTTATCAGTACCTGTTGGTTTTGTATGAAAAAAGAATTTTAAGGAAAAATTATGTACTCTTTGAAATTCTTTTTAGAAGAAAAAAAACTGAGAGCAGCAGGCCTGTGACAGAAGATGTTCCAGATACAAGCAGAAGAGTTGGAGTGCCTGCATTTTTTCATCTGGCTTTACTCCTTTCAGTAGATTCCAAATTCTTTTTTTTCTTTATAACTTACATATATTTGATACATGAATTATTTTTCATATGTGAAATACTTTTATATTTTAAAATGTAGTAGATCTGAGACATTCAAATATACAAACCAGCATTTTTCTTACAGGAATCAACAGAAGAGTATGCTTTTCAACAATGCTAGACAAAACATGGAGCTACTACTCATTTGACCATTAACCAGGAGAAATACCTTTTAAACACCTTCAAAGAAGTTAAAGAGTTCTGTTTGTTGACTCAATTTTATAACCATTTTTCTTAAAAATTAACTCTGTCACAAGTATAAGTTCACAATATGCCTTAGCCAATAAAACATTCACATTAAAACTTATGGTACAGGCAAGAATATGCTAAAGCACTTTTAAACATACTAAGTACAATAAGAAGTATCTGTATCCAAAAACAATCAAAAAAAGGAATCTAGAAAACACTAGTTTAGTTTCACTGAAAAGTACAGCTTCAATTCATAGGAATTTTTATGGCTTTATCAATGATTTAATGATTGGAGGATAGCCATTTTCCACACACATAAATTCAATCTACAGGGTCTTTACTACATTAAAACCACTTGGACAAACAAAACCTCCATTTTTCAAGTATTTGCCCAAAGCATTTCAAAACAAATACAGCTACATGGGTCTTACCAACAGGTCTGAATCTAATAAGCACAGCAGAAGCACTTATCCATCATATCCTTTAAGAGCACATTAGGAACAAAGCAACCAAAGGTTTGCAATCCCTCTAACAATTTCTATTGTTACCAAAATAATACTGGAACAACTTTTCAGAAAAGATTGTCTATGCTACACTAGTAAACGATTTGAAAGCAGGAAATAATCAGAAAGAGACAGAAAAGATGATGCAGCAATCTGCTAAATATTGGTCACCATAATTTATTTTCTAATCAGCTCACTGAAAGAAGTAAATGAACCCTGACACAAACATCTGCCTACTAAACACCACTAAAAACAATTATTTGTTGCCAGTCCAAAATAGGAATCATCACCTTTCAGAAACTTTCACGTTTGTAGTAAAGGTCAATTTTGATCTCATTGTAACCAAGGAATTCACAACTACTACTATTTTAGCGCATATATTCTGAGTTGACAAAATTAGATTACTTTTACTTTCTTGCAAAATTCAAAATGTTTCCCTTAAACGACACAGATCTGAAAAACAGGTATTAGACAGAGTCTATAAAATCTAGTTCAGCTAAGTTCTTTGTTAGTTGAGAAGTCTAAAGTTTCTACATTATAGTGTGCCAGCATTGCAGCTTCCAGTGTGTTAATATGCTAAATATCCAATACAGATGTTTGGACTCCTATGTAATCAACGGTAGGCGATATCAATTCCTCCCTCGCATTAATGTAAGGTTTTAGGTTACATATTTACTATTTCTTGTAGATCTTTCTAATCTTCATAAATTTATATGCCAACAAATGCAATCATGTGCACACAAATCCACCATTCTTAGTCTGTAACTTGCTGTATTTAGCATAAAATTGTGCTGGCATTTATAGCTTCTCCACATACAAAAAACTCAAACACTCAGTAAAGTAGCCTAAGTATCAAGTTTTAAATGGGTGTTTTACAAATATTAAGATAATTTCAGGAACTATTAAGTCAGCATAGGTTGCTATAGTAGTGACTTGAAAATTAATAAATACCCCAGCCTTTCACCACCTCTGTAAGACCATTTTACTTTGAGGCCTTGCAGATTTCTCCAAAGGGAAAATCTTTTTTTCCCCTGTTTTTCATAGATGTATTCTTTCTCAACAACTTAAAGTAGTTCAAAACCATAATATTAATTAGTTATCTCCACTACTTACAGACAAGAAAAATCAATCTACCTGAATGCCATCAAGTAACTTGCTCATGCACCAGTAACTGTCAGCTTCTATGTTCTGCAGCACTTCCTCAGGCAGATTGGAAACATCAAAATTTTCCACTTCTTCTTCTTCTGTTTTAGCAAAGACAGAGAAAGACAAGTCAATGAAGTGCACAGACTAAATAAAGCAAGGATGAGGAAAATAATTTTTAAAAAAGACAGCAACCACTTATCTAGAAAATAACTAGTCAGAAACTTCAACACACATTTACTTCAACAGGGACTTAAATGAATAATTTATTGCTCAACTGTGTCATCTAATGGCTTTAAATGTTAATGAATACTTAATTTCTTGCAGACTGTGAAAATCTCAAATCATGCCTGGTTAACCAGAATTAATATATAATAAATTATTTCATTCTAAACATTCCACACCTGAAAGAAGACCATCAGAAACACTCTGAGAGCCCTCAAAGTTTGTATGAATTATCTCTGCAAAACACATCTCTGTTTGCATCATACACACCAAAATATATTGCTAGTCTTGATGGTGGAAAAAGTCCCAAAAAATAGTTTTTAGAAAAACAGGGAAATTTATTTAGAAAGTTGACTACAACTTTTCAAGAAGAATTTGTGTTTCAGGCAAGCATTTGAAATGAGAAGGAAATCAGACTAAAGGAAAAAGATGATTCCCAGTCCCCACCCCAAACACCTCCTTGGTTCTCAATACAGGAAAAGAACAGAAGCCTAATGATGTCTAACTCACAGAAACTGGATCTTTCTGTTGTCACAACACAATTGTGTTAGAAGAAATTCACAGTTCGTTACAAACTGCAATTTTACCACTTAAGCCACATTGCCATTTTTAAAACATGGCATCTAAATTAATCCATTAAAATTAATTAATCCATTAAAAGAACACAGAACATACTGCCATGACAGCTAACTCCCAAAGCTGCCATATAGCCCCAAAAGAGTGTTTAACATGAGCTGGGAACACTAAGTTAATGCTGAATCTTCCCTCTTGCAGCAGCTCACAGCATTATACTGTATCAAGATGAGAATCAAAGAAGCATCTTTCCCAGCCCTGGTGTCTTTCACAGGAGGCGGCACAGAGGAGAGAAGTGTTTGATTCTACTTCAACAGGGCATGATACACCAAAGGAATTTCCTCTATTACACAATTGCAAGGTAGCATAGAACAAACAGTAAGAAAAAAACAAGAATATACAGTATCTTAAAGCTCCTCTATTATCTGTCTCATAACTTTGCAGTATGTCATTGCAGAAGCCTAAGTGTATCTTTAGGTTGTCACATGTGATTACGCTACCTTAAAGCTCTTACTTGTCAGCTGGTAATAACCATGAACATTACACGTTATAAAATAATTTTAACACAACAGTGATTTTACTACTACTAGTAAACACTGGTAGCAAGGTGTTATTGTTTGCACTGTTGTCTATATGTGGGTGTGCATCTTGCAAGGGACCATTTGTTTTGGATTGTAAACTAATAATAGCTGTACAACACGGAGATTAGGTCATGCTAATAAATTATTAGTTAAGATACTGGGAAACATGGTAAGTAAACTTACTGGCTGTTAAAGGAATGACACCTTGCCCTGGAATACAGTTTTAAAAACCCAGTTTCTAAAAGATCAACAAACACATATCCAATGTATTTTAAACACCCTATATAATAAACTCAGATACAACACTGCCTTGCAAAACAATTAAGAAAGAGTGAATAGCAGATTATAAAAACAGATTTTTTAAAAAAAACAGATCCTTTTGAGAGCAAGAAAAAACTCCTGTAACAAACTCAGCAACATATTCCTCCCAGCAAAAACGACAGACCCCCCAGAAATCAGTGTCATACTCCTCTCTCAGCAATGCACAGCAAATTCTCACAATGCTCCATGGAAAATGTGGGTAACCTAGGCTGTAACTGGGAGATAAAACTCCCCTCCAACATATTTCTGTTCAGTTTCCATCACTTTCTCTATTAGACTCCCCTCATTAAAGACAGTTTCTAGAGCACACCTGGATTCATTCCACTTATTCCATCTAACCTCTTCAGAAAATGTACGTTAAAGAAAAGCTTAGTATAAAGCAAAAGTTTTTTGACGGTAAAGATGGTTGAATACAATGGAGGTAACAAGAAAGAATTAAAGGCAAACAGACTAAGAGTAAGAAAAAAAGCCAAAACCTCTAATAGTGAAGAAACCTAACTCAGATTAGACAAGTAGCTAAACTCATGTACATTTAGCAAAATTTACTCAAATCAAAATGCCAGTTCCACAGGTCAAAAAAAATTACAACAGAAAGGTCCCTCAAAAGTACAGAAAAAAGTAGCAAATTGATAATAATATCAACATGTCCTTACTACAATCACTAACAGAAAAATTACTAAGAGTACTCACAAAACTCAGCCAAAGACTGAAAGTTATTAGACTTAATATGGAAAAAGTAAATTGAAGATTACTAGCTCCATATGTATCTGTGAAAAAAAAAAAATCAATATTAAGTATCCAACCCAATGTGTCTTGAGATTTTAAACCAAACAAGAAAATCCCACAATCTTCAGCAGAGAAGCCCTTTTTAGCAGTTTAGAAATCAAGAATGAATATTCCCACTAATTTAGAAAAGAAAGACTTTTCCAGACAGAAAACACGTATGACATATCTTCTATAGGAGGAACAATTTTTTTTATATCCTATACAGGTTAACTCTTTAAAATGTCCTACAGTTAAAAGGTTTATGTTTATCATATACTCATAAACTAATGCCCCAATGGGAAAAAAAAAAAAAAAAGTTGTTAATATTTCTAACTTCCATTTTAATATTTTAAATAGTGAAAAAGGGAGTAACCCATTCTCTGTCTCACAATATCTCCAGAAAAAAAAAAATAAATGAACCAGTTATTCATACAACACAAACATATATTGAACTTAATTCCTCTTGAAAGCAGTAGTCCACAGGCCTTCCTTCACTTAAGACTTGCTGAAAGAATGACAACTTCGCTAGTGCATTTCTTTGCAAATTTCCTGCTTCTGAGCACCTTTTCTTTTCATGACACGCTATCGCAAAAAGGAAGTTATCAACCGTAGCACAACACAATAATTCTTCAACAGGTGGGCATGAAAAGCTAACAAATGAAATAGACTTTATCTTCTCTTTCTCATCTTTCTTATCTTACCTCTTTTTTGTCCTTCCCTTTCTAAGTCTACCCTTTCACACTATATTCTCATACCAAGATATAAAACAACAAAAAATTGAAAATACATCTAACCAGCTAAGGTGGGTGTCTCCACCTCCCTTCACAGTCAACACAGCAAAACAAGTAGTGATGCAGTATTAGACATCTTGTTTCTAAGGTAGAAAACTAAAATAAATTTTAAAAATCACATCCAAAGAAAATTCTCTTTCTCAATATTAGCTCTAACCTGAACTCAAAAGGATTGCCTCAGAATGCAGACATCTAAACTGTGGAAGTCTAAACCTAGCTGAAATTAAACTTTAAATGCCCATTAAAAGACTTCTCGTTCTGTGACTGAACTACCTGCAACAAGCAAAAAAGACAGGCTGTGAAAAAACAACTGCAGTTTGAAAAAAGGCTGAAGTAACTCAGAAAGCAAAGACATCCCAGTATTAATATTTTGGAAAACACGGATTCTAATTGTTCTAGCAAGGAAGGACTATTTTTTATTTCTTTTTCTCCCAAAAAGTAGAATGTAACTTTTAAGAAGCATCTTCCAATGGTTTCAACTACTTTTCATCACAGGTATTGTGATAAAAAGCTCAAAAAAAAATGTCAGGTCATTCTGAAAAGAACATAGGTGTGACACAAACTTGCCACTCTAAGTAGCACTCTTCTTACTCCAGAGAAAAAAAACATCCAAACAAACACACACACACACAAAATATTAGTCAGAAAAGCAACTATCATCAAGTTCTTTCTGCTCTAGTTTGGGTGATGGTATAAACCCAAATATGTAGATAGCATTTCAGCACTTTCACTTAAAGATTCTGTCACTTAAAACAATGTCACAGAGCTGCAAGCTCACTCATTACAGAAATAAACCTAGGACTTCTATGAAGTACTCATATAGCTTTCTTG